TGATGAAGAGTGCCTCCCTGCCAACCCAGGATGTGACACCGGGACCCAGGGCTGCCCCTTAGGGACTGGGTTCGCAGCCAGCAGCACTGGCGCAGAGGCTGGTTCCTGTGTGCTTGGTGGGGCAGGGCCAGAGGGAGGGGCTGCTACACTGCTTCTCCCGGGTAAGGAGCCAGCCTAGGCTGTAGGTAGAGGGGGTGGAGCAGATGCTGCAGTAGAAGCCCTCACTGCCCAGTGTCTTCACCTCTCAGCCTGGGCAGCAGGTCCAAGGTTCCTGAGAGCGCCCAACAGCTTGAGGCCTAGGGATCTAGTGGCCAGGTCACCCACAGCCTGGGCAGAGATGACCTCTGCCCATGATGCCCAGCAAGGTGCTGTGGTGCAGGCCCCCAGGCAGGTCCCCTTCCCACTCTCCAGGGTAGATGGTACAGCCTGGCAGCCCACGGTGGCCCCAGGCTGCCTCCCTCTCTGTTCCACGGCTGATGTCATCTCTCCTCTCCTGTAGGTCTGTGCAGACGTTTGCAGACAAATCAAAGCAAGAAGCTCTCAAGAATGACCTGGTGGAGGCCTTGAAGAGAAAGCAGCAGTGTTAAACCTCTGCTTCACGCTAACCGGACATGCCATGCACTCGATAGGTTCCTTTCTTAGAAAACTCGTTTTCTGCTCCTTTTCCCTCCTCCTTTCCCTCCCCATGGGTCACGTAACAGTTTGCATCGACCATGCAGCGCATCGCTCCCCAAGAATAAAGCCCGATAACCACCCTCCTCTGGCTCCAAGGCCCGCTTCCCACAACGTTTCCATAGAGACCGTGTGGTTTTTTTTTTTGTTGTTGTTCACCTGGGCCCCGTCTTCCTTTCCTCCCATTTATAAGCATATATACTGTCAGCCACTGCTCCTCCCATCTTTGTTACATTGGTGTAAAAAATGTAAAACAAAAACATTTTATGAACTAACTGGTGTGTGAAAGAGAAGAACTGGAAATCAGATTCCATGTGTATTTGGGAGTTGCTTGGAGTTGGGGGCCGGTGGGGACAGTGGACAGCTATGGAGGACAGAGAGACGTCCTCGGCACTGTCCTGCGCAGACGTGCCCACCCAAGGAGACCACAGTGGGGTGGCGGCTGGCGACCGGCTGCGCTTCCGGCCAGGTGCTTTCCTATCGATTTTTATGGAATGCAAAAGGAGTTTTTTTGTTTTATTTTGGTTTTTTTTTTGTAAAGCTTAAACAAAAAAATCTACATCTTCTACTTGAGCCTCCATACTTAAAAAAAAAAAAAAGGAAAAAAAGAACAAAAAAATAAAAAGAAACTGGGACACAGTGCTGGCCTTGTGTTCTTTCTTACCTGTCTCCCTCGTCTTGGAGCTCTTCCCATCCTACATCCAGCTGCAGCACATCTGTCCACCTCAGTCTACTTTCACCTTCTCAGGGACCGAAGCAGAGCCCAGGGCTTCCTAACGCCTTTCCTTATCTAGCTGGTTGCTCATCCCTTTCCCTGGCTTCTGTGGCTACCATGTTTGCCACCCCATCTTCTGTGATGTCCCTGACTCATTACTCCTGGTTTCTCTTATTTGGTCCTGTGCAGAGTACAGAATTCCATGGGAGGTGGTAGAGCAGGCTGGGTGCCATGACTCATGCTTGTGCTATCAACGTTGAAGCTGAGGCAGGAGGATTGTGAGCTCAAGGCTGGTCTGGCCTGGACTATATACATCCACATGTTGTCTCAACTAAAAAAGAAAACTGGGCGTTGGCACACATTTGTAATTACAGCACCTGGGGGTCGGTGGCCGGAGGACTGCCAGAGATCCGAGGCCAGCCTAGTCCTCAGAGTGACTTCAGGCTCGCTTAGTGAGACCGTGAGACCGTCCCAAAGCAAATACTGAAATTAGAGGCTGTGAGCCAGCGAGACGCTGCCTGGTAGGAAAGGCTGCTTGCTGCCAAGCCTGAGGGCTTGGGCTCCATCTCTGGAACCCACGTGGCGAAAGAACTGGCCGGCGTGTGCACACACGAAAACAGGATTAATGTAAAAAGAAGCAACAGAGAATTGGGTAGAGATGCAGCTGGGCGAGCAAGCACTCCACTGGCACGTGCCAGCCTTGGCTGTAAGGACAGAGCAGAATGATGAAAAGGTGGGCCTTGCCCAAAACCCGTTTCCATGGGCTGTGAGGACTGTTGGGGCCTTGAGTCGTGCAAAGATGGGGACAGACCACCAGAGTCTACTAAACCAGAAGCAAACTTTATTCCAGAAAAGGATAATCTCCATAGGCCACACAAAGCTTCTCAGCTATAGCTGTGACCACAGCCAGAGATGGGCTCTGTAGCCATGGCCATGGTTTCCGACCCCCCCCCCCCCCCTTTATAGCAAGAAGCAAGCACTAGGCATGAACAAAAGAATTTTTACAATCTCGAGGTAAAACTCAGATACAAATTGCCTGTTTTTTTTTTTTTTTTTTTTTACAACTTCCATTAACAGGTTTTTCAGTTAAACTAGTGTTTGTATTTAGCCCATTGTTTCTCTCTGGTGCTTTCTGATGGTGTTTACCAAAGCTGTATGCTCCCCTGATATGGCCAGTTTTGCTCAGCAGGGAAGGGTAAGGGACAATGCACAACCAAAAAGCCACGTACATCCCATCATTTAAAGGTCAACTCAGCTCACATCAGTTGTTCATCACGAGTGGCCAAGGGGTGTATCTAAAAAGCTGACCCTCAGTTTGCAGAGGGCTGCTTCAGCCTTGCAGACAGAGCTATGGGTTGTAAAGCTAAGTAACCCACTGTTAATACTCTAAAGTGGCTGACAGTCTGCTCTCATTCTCCTAGGCTTACAACTTTGTATTTCTACATTCCCATTTCTGGAACCCACTTTTCTCTATTCTTACTCTTGGACTCTTGGGACAGGCACAGCAAACCTCCCTCTATGCAGTGGGGATGCCACTCTAGCTAAGGGACAGCATGGGACACGTCAAAGAGCATTTGCAGCCTGGCTCACTCTGGCCCTCTGCTCTTTCCTTGATGCCCATCAGTGGGAGAGCCTTGATGGCTAGCAGGGCCCATGGAGATTGGAAAGAAGAAACGGGAGGACTAGAGGTGTAGGAAAGAGTGCTTTCCCAGCACGCAAAAAAGCCCTGAGGTGATTCCCAGCACCACACACACTGGGCTTGGTGATGGACACCTAAAATCCTGGGCTCAGTAGTTAGCACAAGGACCTCAGGGCTGCAGTGGTGGTTCAGTGGTTAAAAGCACTCGTTGCTCTTCTACGGGACCCAGGTTCAACTCCCAGCACCCACATGATGGCTCAGAACTGTAACCCCAGTTCCAGGGGTTCCAAAGTCATATTCTGGCTTCTGTGGGTATCAGGCATGCACAGGGTGGCCGCACATACATGTATGTAAGTGGAGACTGCATATTCATTTACCGGCTGCTCATGCCCGAATAATCACACAGAAACTATATTAATTACAACACTGTTTGGCCAATAGCTTAGGCATATTCCTAGCTAACTCTTATATGTTAAACTAACTCATTTCTATTAATCTGTGTATGACCACAAGGTTGTGGCCTACTGGTTAAGGTTTCTGGCATCTTAATCCTTCGGCAGCTACATGGCATCTCCCTGACTCTGCCTTCTTTCTTCTAGAATTGTTTAATTTTCCCCACCTAGCTCTGTTCTGCCCAGTCATAGGCCAAAGCAGCTGCTTTATTAATAAATGACAATAAAACATTCACACATCACAGGTAAAACATTCTCACACTTGGTTTTAAAAGTTCAAGGTCGCCGGGCGATGGTGGCGCACGCCTTTAATCCCAGCACTTGGGAGGCAGAGGCAGGCGGATCTCTGTGAGTTCGAGACCAGCCTGGTCTACAGAGCTAGTTCCAGGACAGGCTCCAAAGCCACAGAGAAACCCTGTCTCGGAAAAAAAAAAAAAAAAGTTCAAGGTCATCTTCATCTTTAGCTAGCTTTAGGGAGATCCGGATCTCAGTAGGGAGATCCTGTCTCAAAAACTCCCGGCCCAAGAGCTGGGTGTGATATGGTGTGGAAGGAAGAACATAAAAAGGGGACAGAGGAGACCAACCTCTGGGGACAGGAGCAGCAGGAGAGAGGGAGAGGGGGAGGAGGAGGGGGAGGGGGGAGAGAGAGAGAGAGAGAGAGAGAGAGAGCGAGCAGGGGAGGGGAGGGGAGAGGAGAGGAGAGGAGAAGAGAAGGTAGAGTTCCACCTTTGGCCAGGTGTTCCTGTGTAGCCCTAATGAGGAACCTAACCCCATCTTGAAGATAGGAGCCATTATGCTGTATTTTTAAAAATAAGTTTCTATTTATTATGAGAGTTGCCCCTGGAACCTGATCTTTCCCAAGCCATGACCTTGATTTTTTGTTGTTATTTTTGAGGATACCCTTGCCCTCCCTTACCCTCCCTAATCACATGGCGACCACATGATGGTTTTTTTAAAAAGATTTTTTGTGTGTGTTTTCTTATTGCCCTGTTGTCTCTCTTCTGTAAAACTGAAGACACATTGTAGTGTGGTGGTGTAAGCCTGGAATTCCAGCACTTGGGAGACAGAGGCAGGAGGATCATCCTTAGCTGCCCCTAAAATTCAAGGTCAGCCTGGGATGTGTAGACAGTTCCCTAGAACAAACGAGTTGGCATGGTTTTTTCTTTGCTTGCTCTATAGTTAAGCTTCAATTTGTGTCTCCCTTAGTTAGTTGTTTCTTTGTTTGTTTTAATTTTGAGAGTCTTGCTTTGTTGCCCAGACCGGCCTTTTTACTTGCTTTGTAGCCCAAGCTGATGTTCAACTTGTGTTCGGCCTTCCCAGTGCTGAGATGAAAGGCCTATGTCACCAAATTTGGTTTTATTTTATTTTTAAAATTTTATTAGGATGGCAGTGGTGCATGCCTTTAATCCCAGTGCTCAGGAGGCAGAGGCAGGCAGAGCTCTGTGAGTTCAAGGCCAGCCTGGTCTATAAGAGTTAGTTCCAGGACAGGGTCCAAAGCTACAGAAAAGCCCTGTCAAATAAGCCAAATAAGTAAATCAAACAAATAAATAATAAAAAATAAATAAAAATTTTATTTAGTACTTGGGAGTGGGGCCGAGGAGTATCAGATCCCCTGGTGCTGGAGTTACAGGCAGTTGTGAGCTGCCTGCTGTGGGGGCTGGGAATCAGAATGCAGGTCTGCAAGAACAGGATGTGCTCTTAATAACTGAGTCGTTTCTGCTGCCTGACCAAGCTTAGTTTCGGTAAATTCTTTTAAAAGCATGAAATTCAGACTATATAAACTCACAAAACTCTGGAATCTATTTAAATTGCTATGCTCTGGTGCCTTATTTGCACTTGCTATTTCTAGGTTTCTGTTGTCTTTAAGACAGGGTCCAGTGTAGCCTAGGCTGGTCTCACAATAGTTAAAGATATACCGGAGACCTGCTTCCTCCGGGAAGGGAGTAGGGCTGGGGTGGGGTGGCGGGGGTGGTGCTGTTCAGGTTCCAGAGAGGATGCGTGGAGTCGGTGGCAAGGGGAAAGGGGGAGATGGACACCATATGAGGGTGAATTGGGTTGGCTGCCCTCGAGTTTATTGGAAAAAAAAAACCCACATCTTTTAAATGCTAGTTGCACATAGAATTAAATGGGGAAAAGGAGGCACGTGAGCTGGCGTGTGGCTTGAGATGGGGGTTCAGGAAGCACTGGCGTTGGCAATAGGTGCCAGTCATATGTTAATGGAAGGGCCACAAGTTCCTCTTGCCAAAGGGAAGAATTTGTCTCCCTTTTTAGCAAGCGGGAAGGAACTGGGGACTTGTCTAAATGCCTGACCTTGAGAAAAGGACTTTCTTGGTGGAATCAGACTCTCTGTTACAGAATATTGTAGTTTCTTGTGTGGCTTGGTTTATTTGATTAAAGCTTAAAAGTGAGCAAAGAGGAGGCCAGATGGGCATTACCGTGAGCCTGAGCAGACCTTAGGAATTTACAGGTCTTGATTGTCACCTATAGAGGGGATGTTACTTATCTACATTTTCTAGAGCCTGGTGCTAACTTGTGTGGGAGGAGGCCGAGTTCTCACATGGTCCCAGGGTGGTGGTTTGGTTTTTCTCCCAAAGAATTATTTTGTTTAGAGAGAGCTACCATTGTACACACGTTCATCCTTCACCAAAGCCCGCACAAAATTTCCCCAAGGGAAAGGCAGCTGGGGTCTTATCACAACAGGGTCCTGTTAATTAAACTGGCTGCCCCCAGGAGCCTGAGATGGGAGATGGCTAAACTCCCTCAAAAGTCACTAGCCCCACTTTTGGTGTCATGGGAAAGAACAGGCTGAGGGAGTTGGCCCAAGTCACAAGGCTCACCAGTGGCTGATGCAGGCTTGAGATCCTTAAGTCCCTGGACCACTCACCAGGGACAGACCTGGTGAACATAACCAGGCTGTGCGAGCGCCAGACTCTGACCCCGCCATGGAGCACTGGAGCAGGCCTCCAAAACAGAGGAGGAATCAGGGTTAGATAGGTGCAGTCTGACTCCCTGGGTAGAGACAACACCTCCTTTGTCAGCCAGGCTTTGCCACAGGCAAAGCACATCACCCCCTTACTCCCCCCCCCACACACACACGAAGGGATGTCACCCCTGCTGGAGAGACAGGAGGGCTTCTCGGGCAAGACTGTCATTTCATCTTCTGCCCACGCAGCTTCAGTTCAGGCCTGTGCCTGAGGTCATGTGCCAACCGAGGCCCCAGATCTCCCAACTTGGAAAGGTGCCATGCAGCCCTAGGAAAGTAACATAGAGCCAGGTCCCAGGATGCAAAGAGCACCTGAAGCCAGCAGTGCTTTGCCTGGGTCTATGCCACGACCCTCTCTTTTCTGCAGCTGTGGACAGAGAAGCTAAAAGAGCACTCAGAGGTGGCAGTCTATCTGTCTGTCAGGTGGCCCCTGGCCATGCATCTGGCTTTTTTGGACCTAAAATAATGTATGTGCTAACAGGAAAGGCAGCTAGTTCTCTGCCCCCAGTCACCAAAAGGTGGAGGCCCACAGGAACGTGGAACAAAGTGAGCTGGAACCAACCACTCTTTCTCCCTTCCTTTCGGCCTTGTCACTTCTGTGCCCTGCCTCCCACTCTTCTCCTCTTCCACCCGCGCTTCTGGTCACCACCTTCTTCAGGAAAGCACCAGTTTGTCCCTCTTCTTTACCTCCAAGGTGACCTTCGCTGAGTTCAGACTACCCGAGGAGACGTCTGACCACGTGCCTCGCTTTGGGCAGACCACCCCACCCTATGTAGCCCCGGAGAGAATGCCGGAGCAGTAGCATGGTCACGCCAAGCCTCTGGGGATGTCCAACCAAACCCCACCTGGTTATCTGCCTCTTCCCGAGCCTCAGGAGCCCATTGAGGTGTCCCCATTACTGCCATGTCACGCCACTAGAGTAGGGCAGAGAGATAAAAAGTTCAAAAGCCAAGGGCCCATGGATACTGGACATGGTTCCCCCGTCAGTATGAACTTACCCTGGGTCCCTGCCCAGACCCCAAGTGTCATGGGAAGGAGCAGCAGAAACGGGCCCAGCTGGAAGGTATGTTTACTAGGTTGTGTCCAGTCAGAGGGACAACCCTGGGTCCCCTGGATAGGATGTAGCCTGGGGTGCACAGGCAGATTGAGGTAGGTGGATGGGAGGTGGCCACACCATCTTCTGCAGTCTCAGCTATGGGTCCCCTACAGGCTCCTCGAGCAGCTGTCTTATACCTGAGAGGTAATATCCCGGCATAGCATGATCCAACTCCAGACCTGTCCTAGGTCCAAGCATGGACGGGAGGCAACCAGGCCCAGATTCCTAGGCCTCCCTCAAGCCGCCTCCTAGGCCCAGTCCAGAGGCTGCAGTGTCACTGCCCACGCTTTGCTCTTCCTGGGATGGCAGCCGAGGTTCCCGTCATCCAGGGCACAGGTCAGCTTGGGAGGAGAGGCTCTTGCTCTGAGGCGGTAGCAGCGGAGCGGTTCCTGTACACCAGGAACTGGACGGAGATCTGACGGCAGCGTTAAGGCCGCAGCACACACGCTGGACTGGAGCTGTTCGCATCACTCTTCCCTGATCTGCAGGTGCCAGCCAGGACCTCTGAGCCTTGCCCTTGCTCTCCCACCATCCTGAATGCCAACCCTGACCTCCCAGCTCAGCCATCAGGAACCCTGGATTAGGACCCTGCCTTTCTCGCTACAACACTAAGCGGCTGGGCCACTGTGGGCCTTTCTCACAATATCCCATGAGGGCTTAGCAAGGGCCAAGGGCCATGTTTACTTTCTGCCAAGTGGGACCCAAATAATATCCAGTTGAGCCTCTTGGCAAACACTGATGGAGCACTCACTGAGTGCTGGGTCCCATGGGAAGGGTGCTCAGATATTGATGTCATCAGCTGTTACCGGGGTGGGACAGGCGACTAATAACTCAGACAAAAGGAGAGAAACACTAGGGACTGAGGGTTTCCACCGTGTCACTCAGTGAGGAGGTAGTGGGGGTCAGGATTAAGCCTGCTCACCCGTGTCTTCATGAGCTAGCTCTCATTTCCAGTGGACGGGTGCCCTGGCCTTTCTATTCCCCGGGGCCTTTACACAGGCTGCGGCTGGACTCTCGCTGCACAAAAGCTCCCTTGCTTTCGCCTGAATCAACTTCTCTCTCAACCCAGGTGAGATGACACCTGTTGAGGCCTCTGTTTACCCGAAACTAGGACAGTAGTCCAGTGGTGACATGCTCCTGCTCTCTCTCTCTCTCTCTCTCTCTCTCTCTCTCTCTCTCTCTCTCTCTGTAGCACTTGGTGCCACTGAAGTGAAGTGACCACCTAAAAACCCAGTGCATTCTGTCCTTGCTCTCTTAGCCCTCTGATGATGCTGGTCCTGGCTAGGTGCCTGACACACAAAAGAGGTGCACACTCTTGATGAACAGATGAACTGATGGCTACAGAGGGATGGATGGGGGTGGGTGAGTAGACGGATGGGTAGATGGACAGATGGGAAGGTGAATGGACAGATGGATGGGAGGTTGGATGGGTGGATAAATGAACAAATGGAAGAATGGATGGGTGGGTGATGGGTGAGGCTGGAGGGGTAAACACAGTTTGAATGAAAGGTCAGATTGTAAGTGGAAGGATAGGTAGATGAATGGATATGTGGACGAATAGGTGGGTGGATGGATGGATGGATGGATGGACAGGTAGGTAGATAGGTGAGTGAGTGGATGGATGGGTGGGAGGATAGATGAATGAATGGGTGGATAATGTTGGATACGGGTAAATGGAGATGGATACAAGACTGGATTGTAGATGGACGAACAGATGGGTGGATGGCTGTATAGATGCATATGTAAATACATGAACGGATAGGTGGGTGGATGTGCAGAGGGGTGCACTGACAGGGACATGATGCTGAAGCAGCGGCTGCCTTGCCCACATGACTTTGCCAACGTGACCCACCTTAAAGGATACAATGGTGTCAAGCAGCAGCACACCCAGGCTGCCCACGAGCCAGGGCAGGTGGTGCAGCAGGTAGCTGCCCTCGCTCTGGCCCACCTCAGGGTTCTTGAGCAGCACGCTCAGCCCATACAACGTGTTCCCCAACATCACCAGCGCGAACAGTGAGTAGGAAATGCCTTGGGTGGACTGCCGTAGGAACTAAGGGGAAAGGGGTGATGGTGGGGTCCTCAGAGAGGGTTCTTGTCTACAATACCAGCATTTGGGAGGCTAAGGCAGGAGGATCCTGAGTTCAAGGTCAGGCTTAGACTATACAGCCAGTTAGGGGTGATCTGGGCTACACAGACAGTCCTGTCCCCAGGCTCGGAAGACTCTGGATTGTAACTGTCCATGTGTGTGTGCCCTGTGTGGTTTATACTCTGAGCTGGCTTTTCATTGTGTGCCCAATGCCCAGCATGGCTTGGCACCCAAAACAGCCCTATCCAGGGACCAACTCCAAGCACTTCTCCCAGTACCACAGACATCATGGCTGTCTATGCCTGCTGGCCCCCAGCTCTGCAGCCCTCACTGGACTCCACCTGCCAGGCAAGCCTCCAGCTTCAGCATCTCCTGTCCGCTCTCTCAGGCTTCTCAGCTCAGCGGCTCCCTCACACCTGACCTCCAATGTTGCCGAGACACAGTCTCAATCACCCCTCCCGGCAAGGGTCATGGGCCAATTTCCCCAGCTGGGGGACTTAGCCCACATCAACAGCTGCTGTGCTTAACCTGACAGCCCTCCTTCTACGTGACCCACACCCCTACCGAAAGCTCACATTGGTGCGGATCTGAGGCAGCCTGGAGAGCAGGTACAGCACACTGGAGATGGAGCCGATGACAAAGCCGATGACCTCCTTCTTTGTGAAGGGCTGGGGGCGGGGAAGAAAGGGGCATTCACTAGCTGGTGGGAGTTTTAGGGAGCAGTCTCCCCAGGGGGGTGAGTAGCCCCTTAACATCTACATGATTACGCAGGGCAATGAGAGTCAGCCCCCACCCCCCGCCATGTTACCAACACAGGCCCATCCCCTACCTTATTGCCTGGCTCCAAAGACAAGAGCATCCGTCCCCGGAAGCTTTCCCTGGGGACAGCCACAGGATCAGTGATGCTTAACAGTGGTGTGATACACACTGTCCCCAAGATGAAGAGGAGCACAGAATTGATAGGGGCAGACACTGGATTGAGGCAGGAGAGAAGACGAGATTAGGTATTTAGGTGACAGCAGATAGCCTGGGATAGGAGTCCCAGCCTTGCTTCTCAGTAGCTATGTGACCTTGGACAAGTGACCTAGCCTCTCTGACCTTCAGTCCTTCATCTATAGAATGGGGATCCAACAGTACCCTTCCCCTAGGGACACAAAGGAAAGACCATCAAGGGCAGAAGGGTCAGCACTCTGTCCTGGGGTCTGCTCTATGACTCACCCTCCTTTCTGGTTCTGAACCAGAGAGAGGAAGGAGCAAATGGGGTCTCCCTGCAGCTTGATCTGTATATGTCTCCATCTCGGCCCACTCCAACTCAGGTCCCAGGCCTCCCAAGGCCAGCAGAGCCTGACCCAAAGTGACCCCTGGACTCACACGGAGAAGGCCGGTTCTTGAACTTGTAATGGAAGTACAGGGTCAGCATCATGAGGTCAGCCAAGACGTAGTACACAGCCGTGTAGGTCTGGGAAAGAGAAGTGGACCCGGGCAACGGCTGCTGATAGGCCCTGATACAAGCACCCTGGCAGCCCTCCACTGCACCCCAACTGGTGACCAGCTCTGGTTATGTCACCTCTCCGAGCCTCTTGTTCCCTCAACTGAATGGAAGGTTCCCTGTTTCTATCTAGGCAAACGAGGGATCCAGCGAGAATCCAGCCTGGACAGTCCACAAAGCATCGAGTACCAGAGTTGAGGCAGTTGGCCAAGGCCTTGACTGACCCTCTTTCTGCTGGCCGTAGAATGATGTCTGTGGTTCCCAAGGAAAACCCCATTTGCTACTTTGTGGACCCCACACTCAAAAATTTTAATTGGGTCCCAACCCCTCAAAACCACAGACCCCTGTGGCGTGGTATGCTTACATGGCAAATTGGGGAAACTGAGACTAGACAGAACCCTGACTCACCCTTGGTTCCACAGCACGGTGGCCACTGAGTGTTGGCTGGCAGATTTGAAGCCCTAGTCTCTTCTCCCACAGCTGTTCCCACTTGTCCTTCCTTAGCTGCCCTGCTGTGCCTGGGACCCACCCACCTGCAGGGGTAGCTGGTCTGCCAGGAAGGAGCCAATGAGGTTGCAGGAATCTCCACCGATCCAGCCCAGGAGGAACCACAGTGACAGGGCCTGGTCCATGTTCCCTGTCTTGCAGGCCTTGATGTACTGGCTGTGGAAGAGGAGGGGACACATGCTCACAGGCTGAGGCCCACTTAAAAGGCCAATAAGAGCTGGGCGGTGGTGGCTCACGCCTTTAAATCCAGCACTCAGGAGGCAGAGGCAGATGGATCTCTGTGAGTTTGAGGCCAGCTTGGTCTACAGACTGAGTTCCAGGACAGCCAAGGCTACACAGAGAAAATCTGTCTTGAAAAAACAAAACTAAATCAAAACAAAACAAAACAGGGGGCTGGAGAGATGGCTCAGAGGTTAAGAGCACTGCCTGCTCTTCCAAAGGTCCTGAGTTCAATTCCCAGCAACCACATGGTGGCTCACAACCATCTGTATAGGGTCTGGTGCCCTCTTCTGGCCTGCAGGCATACACACAGACAGAATATTGTATACATAATAAATAAATAAATAAATAAATATTAAAAAAAAAAAACAAGGCCAAAAAGAGGACCTTAACAGTCACAGTATGACTGGGGCAGTGATGGGCAAGAGAGGGCCCAGGGCTTAGGCTGGAACCTAGAACTTCAGAGGCAGTATCTTCAGTGTGTTTCTTTGATCTGTGTTGGAATTCTACCAATGCACACACACACACACATGCAGGCATCGGTACATATAAAATAATAAGATGAAAATTTTAACCCCCCCCCCAAGAAAAAAGAAACTCAGAGCCAGGTACAATGGTACAAAACTGAGGAGGCAGAAGCAGGTGGATCCCTATGAATTTGAGGACAACCTGGTCTACACAGAGAGTTTCAGGCTGCTGGGGTTAGTGAGACTCTGTCTCAAAATTAATTAATTAATCAATAATAAATAGCTGGGTAGTGGTGGTGCACACCTTTAATCCCAGCACTCGGGAGGCAGAGGCAGGTAGGTCTGTCTGAGTTTGAGGCCAGCTTGGTCTATGGAGTGAGTTCCAGGACAGTCAAGGCTAAGTAGAAGGGCCCTGTCTCAAAAACCAAAACAAAACACAATAATAATAACAATTTTTAAAAAGGAGCTCATGAGACTAGAGAGACATTGCAGTTACAAGTGCCTGCTGCTCTTGCAGAAGACCCAGATTCAGTTCCCAGTACCCACATGGAGGCTCACAACCATCTGTAAACTACAGTCCCAAAGGGTCCAGATACAGTCGATGGGGGCACCAGGTGTCAGGCACACATGTGGTGCGCTTACATACGTGTAAGTAAAATAACCAAATGCGTAAAATAATTTAAAAAAGAATGAAAGGACAGGAGTGGTGGCTACACATGTAATCCCAGCAATTCAGAGATGGAAGCAGGAAGAGCAGGGGTTTAGGGTTACAGGGTCTCCCTAGATAGCCCAGATTGGCCCTGAACTCAGGAACTTCCTGCCTCAGCCTCTGGAGTGCTGGGATTAAAGGCATGTGCCACCACGCCCAGTCCAGATCAATTATTAAAACGGTGACAGCAGCCTTAGAGGACAGAGCACTCGGTGAGGTCCTGAGTTCATTACCGCCTGCCTCACCTCCCACAGTGCCCAGCCAGGCATGACAGTAGCCATCCCTTTTCTCACACACCTGCTGCTCCTGACCAGCTGCTTCCTGCCCGCATACCCCCAAGTTCTTCCTGGCTGTGGCCCTCCCTGCCGCTGCTGAGTAGCCAGGGGCTCTCTTTCACACTTCACGTAGTTGGACGTTGGCACTATGCCAGCTTTCCAGCTTGCACACATATTGGGAAAACGAGCTCTAAGGCTCAGGGCATGGCGGTGGTCTACCCAGGTAACAGTCAGTAGGTGGCGGAGCCGAGGGTGGGCACTCTGGACCCCTGTGCAGTAACGTCCTCATCCCCCAGCCTAGCAACAGCCACAGGATTTTGCAGCCCCTGCTTCATCTTCACCACCAACCTGTCTTCACCTGAAGGATGTAACCATATCTAAAGCAGCCCAGCACCCCTGTCCTCCAGCCCTGTCTCTTTCCGACTGAGCAACAAAGAGCACATCACCCAGCCCTCATCTGGTAAAACAGGGAGGTGAACTCTGCTGTTTCATGGGGCTGTTATGAGGATCAATGGAGGTAAACCCACCAGCACTTAGACACAGGCCAAGAATACAGTAAGCACTCAATCCATGGCAGAAAACATTACTGTCTCAGCACTGGCATCCCTCAACATGAGGTCGGGCCTGTGTAGACTCCGTGCAGCCCCCTATCTTCGGAGCAAGCTGGCCATCAGAGAACGTGATCAGGGAGGGAGGGAGTACACGTGGTCTGGGATCTAGATGGGACAATGACCAGCCAGTCGAACCCTCTGTGTAATGCACGGGCTGCTACCACCCCTGACGCCCCGCCTGCTCCTGCCGCATAGCCATATACTCACGGGAAGGTTGATGCAGCAAAGCAGAGGATGGAGACCAAACCCAGGCCCACGCTGGCCTCATCCCAGCCATCCTGAGCACATTCACCAAACACATCCCAGATCCACTGGATGGAGCCGTTGGGGCAGATGGAAAAGTTGCTTGCGCCTAGGGTCCTCCAGACCATGGCCGCAGAGGAAGGGTCCCAGCAGGGAAGAAGGCACAGGTGTGTGTATGGTCACAGTTCAGAGGCTGGTGAAGGTTCGTTCTACAAAAAGGAAAAGAGGAAGTCTTCAGCCTTGGGAGGTGTAGCCCCTTTCCATGATCTGGTGATGTCAACTGGCCCTGTCCTCCACACAGTGAAGATAATGACAGGCTCTACTTCATATGTTACATTTAACTGTGACAGTTTAATGAGTTCATAGTTAGAGTGGGTGAGCCTGTATGCCAACAGCATCTAGGTATTTTGTTTTCTGCTTTAGAGGTCAGACCTAGAGCCTTGCACGGGCCGAACAAGAGGTCAACAACTGTCCTTATTCCCAGCATTTTTTCCTTGACTTTGTATTTCAAGAGGGTCTCACAAATTGCCCAAGCTGGCCTTAAACCTTCAATCCTATTTCAGACACCTGAGTGCTGGGTTTCCAGGTCTGAACCACCAGGCCAGCCTTCCATCCCTTTGACACTACTATCTTCTAATAAGGTCTCTGAGGCCAGGCGTCTCTGGAGGACAGACTACCCTCTGCATCGTGCATGTGTGAATGAGAAGGCAGTTCCTAAGGTTGCCCAGGTACCCGGATAGGAAGCTGGGGCCCATGGTCTTCCCAAACCCTGAAAGACATGCACGACACCTACCTGCAAGGAAGCCACAGCCCACACCAGACGATGGCTGGTTAAAGGAGCAGGAAGAAAGGAGTCCTCTCAGATCCCTGCCACCTGCAGAGGCACTCCAGACACTGTCACTCTGTATGCTTGACAACCTAGAGAGGGGAGGGAGGGCAAGGTCCGGCTGGCTGGAGCCTCCTCCAGTCCCAGCATGCAATCCCACATTGTCCTCTGCCTGACTCGAACGGAACACTACTGACGTGTTCTGCAGGAACCCGAGGCCGCAGTAGGGAAGTCATCGGCTAGGGCCACCCAGCCAGAAAGCAAAAGCATCAAAGCCCAAGGGAGAGGCTTCACTGGTGGCTGCCATGCTTCCCCTTTTGTCACCATGTTAGGAGGGCGCTTCCTCATCGAGACAGGCTCACTCTAGTACCTTCTCAGTTCCCACTTACACCAGGGAGGCCTGGCTCTGGCTGGACCCCGGAATGCTGAGCTTGCAATGCTCAGGCCAGGGAGAGGAAGCAAGGCAGCTCCTTTGTCCAGGAAGCCCAGACTCTCAGAGGACCTAACATGACCAGCTACTAGAGCTGGGGGTAAGGGTGCCCCAGGTCGCTGATTGGCCAGCTCATTGTGGCAGCTCCAGTATGGGGCAGAGGATGGATGGAAGGTTCTTCCCCGGTCTCAGTGGCTGGTGCAGGTGACATCAGCATAGCTAATCTGGGGAGCAATTACCTGACACCTCCATTCACATGCAGTCCAGGTAAGAGCTGTGCCTAAAAAGCTCTCTTGCTTATCAGCCACATCCTTCCAGACTCCCCTGCCCTGTGCCCCTATGTAGATTCTGAATGGGCCACCACAGTTCATCACACATCCATACACTGTCCTCCCTCACAACATCCAGGTCTAGCAGGGAACACTAAAGGCAGACTTAATTGGCTTTGGGCCTGTGAGTCAGCCTGTCAGGGCCTGCCTATGAACTGGGGCTAATATCCTTCTGAGCTGAACATAAACCTCTGAGCCCCACATCCGATCCAAGGTAGTGATGGTTTGAAGATGGGAACCCAGTATCTTGGCTGTTATGGAATCTTTCTTTCATTCCCTTTCACCAGGTTAGGAAGGAAATGAGGGGAGCAGGGGCTGTGGGTGTAAGCAGCTCTCCCAGCTTCTTCGAAGACGCTTTCCTTGATACCAAAGTTTGCGCCAAGGACCTCATACATGCTACGTGCTAGTCAATGCTTTACCCCTGGGTTATGTCCCTCAGTATGAAGGATTCTGATGCTCATGGTTCATTTCCAGAAATGCTGGCCAGGAGACAGATCTCCTGAAACACCCCAGTCCTCTCCAACTCCAAGGTACTTCCCACCAAAGCAGATGTAGGCTTCATTCTGAGACTGGATCAAGTTCAAATTCACAGAGACAAGGTCCCCGCACCTCAAGAACTGCTTTTTTTGTTTTGGTGCCTGTCCTGGAACTAGCTCTTGTAGACCAGGCTGGCCTCAAACTCACAAAGATCTGCCTGCCTCTGCTTCCCGAGTGCTGGGATTAAAGGTGTGCGCCATCACCACCCAGGTCTAAGAACTGTTCTTCTTATGGAATCCTTCTCCACCACAGATGCCTGGGTGATACAGGATCCATTTCTAAACTGCCTTCTCCAAGAAGTGCTGTAGTCACTTCCTCCTGGAACACACTCTTGGAGAAGACACACCACTGTCCTTGTTAAACGCTGCTCTTCAGACAAGCCTCTCTCCGCTCTCTCTGTCTGTGTATTTCCTTTTCTCATGGTCGGGATGCATCTGCTACACAACCAAGACTCAGGAAATGTAAAGGTGAGGGAGAGGGAAGGAAGCATGATGAAGGGGAGGGGGGAGGAGGAAAGAAAACACGAGAAGGGGAGAGGGGAAGGGAGGAAACTTGTGAATTGAGGGGGCCTAGGACTGAGGGTCCCATCCAAGTGATGGAGCTTCAGCGTTCTGATGCATAAAAAAAAAAAAAGAGAGAGAGAGAGAGAGAAACTCATGAAAGATACTTAACCTCCTAGACTGACTGCAGACTTCAGTAAAAAACCCATTCCAAGCCATGATAATGGTTTGAGCCTAGGAACTCATCCATGCTGGTCAAGTGCTCCACCACTGAGCTACAAGTCCCTGAAATTAAGAAGGATTCTGACTCTCATGGCTCATATCCAGAAAGGCTGGCCAGGAGACACAGTCTCCCGCTACACCCAAAGTCCTCCAACTCTAAGCAAAACCAGGAAGATGCTTCCCATCGAAACACATCTCGCACAGTCGACAGTAATATTCTGTTCTTGCTGTAGCCCCCTGGGTCATACAGTAGCACACAGTATACACTAACTGAACAAACCTGAGTCTACAGCAGTACTCACACTTCTAAACAACCCTCCTTGGATTCCTGCGGTGAGCTTGGCGTGGGAGTGGGCACTCTGAGCTCCCTCCCTGCTGACCTGGGGGAAATGTATCAGGAGATCCCGCAATGGCTCCGGGATCCTACCCACTCCAGGCCTCCCAATCAAGGATCTAACTCCTTCCGGTGACTCTGCCGGTTCGGAGGGATAATGACAGGGCAGTAGCTGGGGCAAGCGCCGCGATGCCCCCGCCCAGTCCGGGAAAAACAAGGCAATCAGAAGCCAAGAGACCGGAAGGCAAGGACGGACAGGTGAGAAGTGGAGCCGAACGCGGACTCGGATCCCAAGTCAGACCCGGCTGAAGCTCGCGATCCCGCGCCCCAAAAGGGGATCGGCGCTGGGGACTGTGAGGGGCAGGGGAAGGGTGTAGGAAAGAATTGACAGGGCGTACCTGGAGTCCAGACCCCAAGCCCTGCCTGCCGCCAGCCCCCTGCATTCTCACCAGAAGAAGATCCACAGCTGATTCAGTTTCAAGGTCCGTAGCCCGCTGGGATCAGCTGACCTCCGACGCCCCGCCCTCTCTGCGCGCTGTGGGCGGAGCCCGAGGCATCCAGGCACGCAGGCGCAGTCTCCATGCTGCGTGCAGCGTCCCGAGCTGTGGGCCGAGCTGCTCTTCGTTGTGCGCGTCGCTCCGGGCCTTCCGTAGCGCGTCCTCTCGCCATGTCCAGACCTCCTCCAGCCGGCGTCACCTCGGGCGCCCCTCTCCGGCCCGCCACAATTCTGGGCACTATGGAGATGGGGCGCCGCATGGATGCGAGCGCCAGCGCCGCGACGGTACGCGCCTTTATGGATCGCGGCCATAGAGAACTGGACACGGCCTTCATGTACTGCGACGGACAGTCCGAGAGCATCCTGGGCAGCCTGGGGCTTGGGCTGGGCAGCGGCGACTGCACAGGTAATCGCTACACCTGCCCCCACACCCCTGCACCGAGTAGAGCTGAGCTGGTGCCCGCACCCGGCGTGCACTGCCCAGGTCCGCACCCCCAAGGGTCTGCACCCAGAAGCTTCCTAAGTTCCCATATCCACAGCTGTGCGCGTCGCTCCGGACCCCAAGCTTCTAAGGCTTTGGAGCCTAAACTACCGAACTGAACTTTGTCTCGCCTCTCCTTCGAAGCTTCTGGAGTTGCAACTCTGGGCTCGTGGGGGAGAGGGGGTAACAGGTGCGAGGGAGCTCCTGTTCTGGCCTCTTAACTCCTATGTCAATCCCTGCCTCTCAACTCTCCAGTTGTCCATTGCTTCCCCACCCCTCCATCTAGGTTTTGTGCTTATGCCCTCCCCTCTTGCCCTCACCATCCCTGCACTCCAGGGGCATGCTTCTCATTCCGGGCTTTGCAGACTTTGTCTTGTGCAGTTGACAGTGCCTGTGGCTCTCAAGGAGACCTGTGGCAATGCCAAGGGCCCAAAGGGGGCAGGGGTGAAAAGTAGCGTGGGGAGAGGGCACTTCCAGCCTTTCTACCCACGCTGTGCCAGATCTTGCACTTGGGGCTACTACAGTGGGGAAGTGTCTAACCCACAGAGGGAGTTCCGAGTCCAGCTTGGAAGACCGAAGCTGTGATTGCTGGGGAGTGCAGGAGGGAGTAGCTTGTGGAGGCCCCAGGGAGAGCAGCAGGCAAAGCTCACAGAGCCTTGAGGCTAGTCCTTGCCTTGTAAGTAACACTGTGCTAGGTAGGAAGGGGCGCTGGAATGTTCGAGCTTGAGAATGCCATGCATGGGGCAGTATGGTCAGTGGTGTGTGTCCCTTGATGGAAGGTGAGGGAAACTGTGCCTCGTTTGCTTGAAGCCACTGGAAGTCTCAGGAGTGTGCCTGATACACAGGGAGGCCTCTTCTTTGCCACCCAGAGATGACTCCTCCCCTTTCCTGTACAGTGGTCCTCTCTGGAGCACCTTGGACTCAAAACATGGTACAACCGGAAGGGAATAAGTGAGCAGATCTCTCAAGTCCAGCTCTGTAGCGTTTACCTGGCTGATTTGTTTCTCTGTCTCTCTTTTACACAGGGTTTCTCTGTGTAGTCCTGGTTGTCCTGGAGCTCTCTCTTGTAGACCAGACTGGCCTCGAACTCACAGAGATCCACCCGAGTCTCTGCCTCCTGAGTACCGGGTTTAAAGGCACACACCACCACCACCAGTTTTTCTCTTTAGCCCATTTCTGCTTTTCTTTGAGTCTTTGTATTCACTAGGCCAAAGTCCTCAGGTCACACTTGTAAAAATTCACATGAGAGTGCCTTGGAGCAGTGTATATGTGTTAAAGCCGGGAGATATTGTGGTCCTCTCTCTATCAGAGAACTCCCCCATTGTCTTGCTGAGTCAACATAGGCAAATATTGGTACATAGACTCCATCATTCATCCATCAGTCCAGGTAGTCGATCACAGAATTCATCATCCATCCATCCATCAGTCCAAGCAGTCGAGCACAGAATCCATCACCTATCAGTCAAGGTAGTTGGGGTCCCCTATCTGGGAAGAAACAGAGCTGAGTAGGTGACTGAGGAATGTGCGGGCTTCTGAGAGTCTGAAAGGGATTCTAAGATTGGTTGCTGTCAAGGCACACAGTCAGGTGCCTGTATTGCTTCCCTGTAACTGGAGGTTTCTCTCATGCCTACCAGTGTAGTAATATGGGCGATGGGGCTGCGTCCCCAACACCCCAGCCGCCTGCCCGGCTAGCTTATGCCCGAAATAACAACACACAAACTGTATTCTTTTAAGCACTGCTTGGCCCTTTAGCTCTAGCACTTACAGGCTAATTCTCACATCCCGATCAACCCATCTCTAATAATCTGTGAGAACCGGTCTTACCGGGAAGATTCTAGCCTAGTCCATCCTGGGTCGGAGCTTCATGCCGGGAGCGGGGCATGGCGTCTCTCTCAGGCGTCTGCTCCCTAGAGGAGAGCTGTCAAGTCTCTGAGCTCACTTCCTCTTCCTCCCAGTATCCTGTTCTGTTTTCTCCTCCCACCTATCTTCTAACCAATAAAATGGGCCAGGGCAGTTCCTTTATTAGCCAATGACCTTCCTCCATCATACCAGTTCCTGATTTACCACTTGGGCTTAATATTAATTACAAACTGTTTGGCCTGTTAGCTCAGACTTATTATTAACTAGCTCTCACAACTTAAATTGACCCATTTCTATTAGTTTATATTTTACCATGAGGCTCGTGACTTGTTACCTCACATCTTGCTTCTCCAGAGGTAGTCTGTCCCGGGCTCCACCTTCTTTCTCCCTCTCCCGTTGCTTGGATTTCCCACCTAGCTATATTCTGTCCTACCATAGGCCAAAACAGTATCTTTATTAACCAATGTTAGTAAATCATATTTGCAGCATACAGAGGGGTATCTCACATAACTTCCCTTATTTGGGGGGCGGGGTGGTGTTTTGTTTTGTTTTTCGAGACTGCGTGACTGTGTAGCTCTGACTTCCCCAGAACTTACTCTGTAGACCAGGCTGACCTCGAACTCAGAGATCCACCTGGCTGTGCCTCCAGAGATTAAAGGCATGCATCGCGACCACCTGACCTTTTTATATTTTTCTGATATTTAACTAATTTATATGTATGTATTGGTGCTTTGTCTGTCTGTATGTATGTGCCCTCGTGGGCCAGAGGAGAGCATTGGCTAGCCTGGGACTGTAGTTAACAGATGATTGTGAGCCAGCGTGTGTCGTGATCGAACCTGAGTCCTCTGCAAGAGCAATGAATGCTCTAAACCATCTCTTCAGCCTCCTTTCATCAATTCCTGCAGAGTCCTTTACTGGTCTCCCTGCCTTCAGGCCTGTCCCCCTGAGGTCCTTCTTCATTCTGTGGCTAGAGGGAGCCAAAGGATGGGCTCATCATCCTGACAAAACTTGGGAACATCAAGTCCAAAGTCTGGGATGGTGTTTGAGCACCTTTGGAGTATAGAGTCTGTCTGGGATGGAGTTTGAGCACCTTTGGGGTATGGAGTCTGTCTGGGATGGAGTTTGAGCACCTTTGGGGTATGGAGTCTGTCTGGGATGGAGTGTGAGCATCTTTGGGGTATGGAGTCTGTCTGGGATGGAGTTTGAGCATCTTTGGGGTATGGAGTCTGTCTGGGATGGTGTTTGAGCATCTTTGGAGTATGGAGTCTGTCTGGGATGGTGTTTGAGCACCTTTGGAGTATGGAGTCTGTCTGGGATGGTGTTTGAGCATCTTTGGGATATGGAATCTGCTTTCTTCTCATGCCTCAAGCCCTCTAGCCCCTGTCCTGCGAGATATATATACTCTTAAAATTCAAAATGCAGCCTTGTGTGGCAAGCACCTTTATCCACTGAGACAATTTACCAGCCAACATTTTTTTTTAATTCAGCTCTTTTGCTCCATTAAAAGAAATTAAAACTTTTGGGGACTGGAGAGATGGCTTAGCGGTTAAGAGCATTGCCTGCTCTTCCAAAGGTCCTGAGTTCAATTCCGAGCAACTGCATGGTGGTTCACAACCACCTGCAGAGAGATCTGATGCAGTCTTCTGGCCTGCAGGCACACATGCAGACAGAATACTGAGAATACTGTATACATAATAAATAAATCTTTAAAAAAAAGAAATTAAAACTTTTATAGATATATTTTTATTGTAGGTGTACAAGTGTTTTGTCTGCGTGTATGAATGTGTGTCATGTACCATGTATCCAAAGAGGGCGTTGAATTCTCTAGAACTGAAATAATAGGTGGTTGTAAGCTGCCCTGTGGGTGCTGGGGCTCGAATTGGGTCCTCTGTAAGAGCAGTAAGTGCTTTTAACTGCTGAGACATCTCTCCTGACCCTGTTTTGTATCTGAATTAAAAATTATTCTAAAAGCTCCCTTAGTTCATAGATAGTATGATGGTCTACATATAAAATCAGAAGGATTTAAAAACTACCTAGAATTTTGTTGTGTTTTGTTTTGTTTGTTTTCCAAGACAGGGTTTCTCAGTAACTATGGAGCCAATCCTAGAACTCATTCTGTAGGCCAGGGTGGCCTAGAACTCACAGAGATCCACCTGCCTCTGCCTCCTGAGTGCTGGGGATAAAGGTGTGTGCCACTACCTAGAATTTTAAGGTTTATTTACTTACCTATTTTATGTATGAGTGTTCTCTCTGCATGTTTGCCTGCGCACCAGAAGAGGGCACCAGATCCCATTGTAGATGGTTGTGAGCCACTATGTGATTACTGGAATTGAACTCAGGACCTCTGTGGGAAGAGCCAATGCTCTTAACTGCTGAGACATCTTTCCAGACCCCTACCTAGAATTTAAGAAGAAAAAAAAGAGATTATTTAATCCCTGTCCCCTCCATATGAGGACAGTTCCAGTATTGTTATTTCATTTCACAGGTTAGAAAGCAGGGACCAAATTAAGCAATTTAGCCCGGAACATTTACATTTACATGGCCAGTGAGTAATTCTAATTAATCTGTTTTGTTGTTGTTTTGGTTTTGGGTTTTTTTTTTTTTTTTTTTTTTTTTTGGTTTTTCGAGAT